GACGCCATCTTGAAATTTTTAAATCGTCATAACTTCTAAATGCCTTAATCAATTTCAATAAACGATGGCTCATTTTAAAGAACTATTAATAAAATTTATATTTATATTATGGGAATAAAAATATTATTTTTCTGGGTAACGGCAGACGACGCTAAAAGTTTTGTAATTGTCTTCGTTTACGAAAAAAATTAACATAGCCCAAACCAAAAATAAATTGTAAAACTATACCAAGCTTGTCCTTAAAATGTACTTTGCTTGATTTTGAAATTATTTTAATAGGTACAATTATTTTAATAGGTTGGAAAAGTACTTATGAACAAGGAAAATGCCTTTTACAATGTGGAAGCGTATGATATGTTGCCAGCTTATTTTCAATGTTTGAAAAATGCCGTTATAGCTTCAAGAGAATACGCTTTGCGATACCCTCGTAGAATACGCCACTCCAGAAAAGTATCTCACCTTGGAATTTCATATGGAACACAATTACTTTTCTCACATAATTGACACTATTTTTGCACGAAGCAAGAGCTGTCACATATCGTTTAACATAATTAAGCCGCTCCTTACCTTAATGGATCACTCTGTATGCAAATAGATAACTTCAAACAATATAATAACAGTAATATCTGAAATAAATTTACACCAGTACCTAAATTAACATCAACCTACCAAAAACTTAAACCAAAACAATTAAAATATCAAAGAACTATGACAGTTAAAACCATTACCAAGTAAGGCACCAAGAACTCCCAAAAATGAATGTTATTAAAAAACTTGTAGTCAAGTAATTTTATGTATAACTCGTTATGTTGACACCAGCCATAAACGTCTAAAATTGAAGCCCTACTTTCGTAGACTCCTTGTATATGTACATAAGCAACGATAGAACCACATAAAATACGTCTTATATAAACACGATTTTACAGTAGCTATAAATTTATGTTAACATTTTAAGGTAGCACAAACCGATATAAATTTGAATACTTACTTAAATGAGTTGAATACATTAAAATTACTGAGTAGTTTTTCTCTATTTCCTCGAATAACAGTGAACTACTATTCCACTAGTTTTTAGTAACAATAATTGCAAAATTACCGATTTTATTGATGTACAGGGTGTTACTTAACTAAACAAAAGGTTTTTGTTTGGAAAGACAAAGAAAACTATTCACTCGGTTTTTTTATTTGATTCGCATTTTCAAGGTCATTCTTGAAATATTTTTTGATTTGACACGTCCTGTTTTGCAAGATTTTTGAACGATTGGTTTTGAATTAATTATTGAAATATTTAATTGGTTGTATCTAAACGTCTCAAATCGAGGTATTAGAAAAAAGTAACATATGAGTTGATTTAACATGAAAGACAGGAAAGTAGAGATTCAAAAAATATGTGCCTTCTCTAATTCTTACATTGGCGGAATATTTTAAGGCACGCCCCTGTTGCGATAAATTGTTACAGTAGTTCCGATAACAGAACTTTGTTGGCTTATACTTTTCTTGGAATTATAGCTCGACAAATATTGTACGGACTGTAGTATAAGTTATTTGCAATTATTAAAACATTAAATGGCAACTATTGTTTTTTTTTTCTGTTTTTATAATGGCAATTACTGATGCATTAGACCCTGGCAAAAACAAATGGTATACGTGTGTTATAAATATGTCATAAATATACAATATGACCACGGATAGAATTCGGAAGAGAGAAAACTTTTTTATGTCTAGGTTTAAAACAGAAAGTCATTTTTATAAAAACGTCTGCTTGTCTTGAAACTACAATTAATTATTATGAATACCAGATTTGAGATTGCTATACAGGGTACATCAAAATTCGCATTTTTAATTACTTCTATTTCAATTTTTTTAGATTTTTTAAACATTCTAATAAACATTTTTCCCAAAGTAGGTAATTTCGTAGGTAATTACTTATAAATTCTTATATCTTTATTTTCAAGTTAATTTTAATCATTCAGTAATATTAGAATAATACAATATCAAGTAACCTGCTCTAAATAAATGAAACGTTTTCGTTACGATCTGTCAAATTGTTGATAATTATGTATGCTATAATTTTGACTTGTGCACGATAATGAAATTAGAAAATACTTGCGTTAGGGTAAAAGAGTACAATGGAGATGATGATGTGACTCTAATGGCGATGGATTCGGCTAGAAATTTTTCAAAATTGTCGTTAAGAAAAAGATCTCAAATTAGAAATGTACTACAAAAAATATTCAAGATCAATAAATTCGCCAGTGTATAAACTTAAATTTAATCATTTTCTGGAAAACGATGACATGAAGCGTTTGGGCTTTTGTTTGTGGATGGAGGAATATAATTTAAGATAAAGACGTTTTGTTGAAAATATTTTTTTTCCGATGAAGCAACTTGTAATAAAAACGAAACAGTTACTTCGCAAAACAATCAATATTGGAGAACCGTGGAATACAATATTAAAGAAAAATTAACGTTTGGTGTGATTCCTACAACGGAATCATTGGACCATATTTTTTTGAAAACAATTTAAATCAACACGGTTATTTGCATATGCTGAATAGTTTTCTGTGATCACTTGCAAGGTGAATAATCGCAGAAAATTATATTTCAAATAAGATGGCTGTCCCGATCATTCAACGATAATTGTTCGAAGTTGGCTAAATCATCACTTTGTCAACAAATGGTACAAATCAGTGGCCACCTAGGGGCCTCGATCTTACAATTATGGACTTTTATTTTTGGGAATATCAGAAGCAAAATGTGTATAAAATTAATTTCAATAATAACTTAGATATTTTAAAAGATAAAGTTAGATAAGTTACTGCAAAGTGCAAATAAGGAAATGTTATTCAGAATTTAGATATCGAGTTGAACAATGCGCTTGTGCCACGTTTCAATAGAATTGTTTAATATTTTATAATTTATGATTCATTGAAAATAAAGATGAAGATGAAGATATGAAGATTAGTCGTTTATGTTGTTTGTTTTTACGTAAATTTGTTTTGTCGAAGTAACGAACAATGTTATTTTTTTATGTATCCTGTATAGCAATCGCAAATCAGATATTCAAAATTTAGACCAATCAATAGAGCATTAAATTAGTGATTTTGTGAAAAAGATACTAGTAGCAAACGGATTGTGCCATCATATAAAAGACAGTCTGTAGATAGATACTTATATGTTTCCTTCTTAACTTACCATTAATTAAATTTTATAAATATTTTTATACAAAGAGACGCATTTATTTTAGTTCCTTCCTTATAAAATCTAAACTAACGAAGCAATCTGAATGCTATAAAAAGACAATTTATAGAGAATTGAAATACGAATAATACGAGAGGTTGATCGATTCGATCGGATAATTAGAAACGAAAAAAAACCGGAAAAATCGGAAAATTTAGTTCGAGTTTTTTTTAAATTCATTACTCCGCCATTTTTTAAATTGTAGGGCTGACCCTGTGCATAAAATTAGTGAATTGTATGTGCTTCAAGTGTGCACAATGCAGGTCCCATCGGACTATTAGTTTTGGCACAATTGTAATTTGAATTTTTTGATGCACTATTTTGCAAAACTTCTGGATGCGTTGGAGGTGGTCCGATTTTAATTTTTCAGTCGGATTTTAAAAGTAGTACATGGATAATACTACAAAACGTATTTTCTAATTTTCCTATAAAATGATGTGAAATAGGTGAAAAATTCCTCCAAACATGTTCAAAAACGGCAGATCTCGCATACCCGGTCGAGTAGTGGGGGGGAGATCGGATTAATTATCGACCTCTTAGTCCAGGCGGTACCTGTCTTACAAAGGGTGTACTTGGGTAAAACGCATATGATCGGAGATTTTTGCTTTAGCGGCTTCTAAATAACATCAGAAATGATAATTTTTCTATGCAAATAAAAAAAACGTGGGCTTAATTGTTTTTACAAAAAAGTATAAAAAAATAACAAAAAAATTCATTTTTTTCTTGGATTTCTCGTCGACAACTTAGCAACTAACTATTCATTTTAGACAAAAATGGAAAAGGAAAAAAAGTTTTGTAACTAAATTTTGAACAAGATAGAGTTAGTTGCAATTCGAAAAAATAATTATTGTTGCAAAAATCGGAAAAATCATTTAAAAAATTGCAGAAAATGCTATTTTATTTGTCAATTTTTTTCAGACACTTGAATAATACCTAGGATCTTCATACTTTTCCCAATTAAACTTCTTAGTGTATAGAATCACCAAATTTCATCCAATTCGGTTCGATAGTTTTTACATAATAATTGTTTAACTTTTTAATTTTTTTTAAATTAAAAATTTTCAAAATCAAATTTCTAAGAATTTAAAGCCTTTGAATACTTGAAAATTTCACCACAAAAGGAAAAGCTCACAAGCCTTAAAATGCTTTTTGAAAAATTCAAATCGGACGATTAGGAGAGCCATGGTGATTGTTTAAACATTTTCGCAATTTTAACGCTTATAAACAATTGCAATAATTTAATGTTCTTTTCAAATTTTTGGTAATACTAGTAAGTTTGTTAAATATTATAAAATTGTTTAAACAATAATTATTTAAATAAACAACTGAAAATTGGTATTAATTTTTAGTTGTACGATAAATTTCTAAA